AAACCGTCTTTGAAGTCAAGGAATGCGTACCATTTGTGGCCTGTGGCACGTTGGATTTCGTAGAATGCGTTGGGTAGTGGGTGAGCATTTTTCTTTGTGACTTTATTGAGTGGCCGATAGTCTACGCAGAATCTGTAGACAGGGTATGGTGTTGGTTCAGGAGTCTTTTTAATTATAAGGAGGGCGCGTGAAGCCCAAGGGCTGGTACTTTTCTAAATCAACAAACCAATTTTTCCGTCAAGAAATTCTCGAATGGCTTTTTCATGAGCTGGACTATACGGCCTTGGCGACACCCGAATAGGCGCACTGTCGCCTGTGTCAATGTGGTGTTCTACCCTAGAGATTTTGGAAGTTATGCGCAGTGATGAATTAAAAAATGCAGGAAATTTTTTTCATAGCTCTGGACAAGAGTGTGTGCCCATTCTGGGGTATCTCGGTGAATAGGAATAGTTGATGTAGGGGTAAGTCGAGTTAAAGAATGTGTAATGTTAGGATTGCAAATTACTGAATTCGAAATATGGGTATCATTAATAGGAAAGCTGGAATTGGTGACATTGTATGAAGGATCGCAATTATGTAAGATGGGAGAATTAGGAAAGTCTTGTAATGTTACTTGCCCTTTCGGGTCTGAATAGAAACCGAATTGATGATAAATTGTTTGTCCTAGACAGATGTCTCCTGGAAAAGTACCGTTTTCCACAGCGCCGCATGAAACCGTAACTGTTATGGTTATGAGGTTATGTACGACGTCTTGGAATTTGGAGCTTAATAGTCTGCGGAGCTGAGGGTAGAGCAAGGTGTGGAGATTAAATTAATTAGAATCTATATGTACATCTATGTGTATGTAAAAGGGATGAAGCGGCCTGATCTATCTCTACAAAAGAAGTGTTCCTAAGACCATACGCACGAGCCTCGGCTAATCCCTCGCCGTGCCTTGCTAGCCACAATTGGTTTAGTTCACGTAATGTCTCATTGCTTACACACGCCCATCCATATTGTATATCACAACAGTAACCTTTTCCGACCATCCGTTGTTTGTTGCTAACTGGAAGGAGATAATAGCATCGTGATTAACAGATTGACCTTTACTGCCTACGCCTGAAATAATGCTAGGAAAACGTGAATTTTAAGGAAATGCTAATTTTGAAAGATTGTTTGATATATAGCAACTCGGACTGCCGTAGTCTCAGAATACTGTAAATTTTATTTTTGGATTTGAATCCAGGCGAGCAAGAGTTGTTTTGTGTGGCTGTCCGAATCCTTCCGAACCGGGTTATTGCAATTCTGGGTGTCATGGCCTCCTCCTACAGCCACAAAGTAGGAGGATTCGGGACCCTAATCCTCTTTATGTTCTAGGATTTCGTTTTCTAATTGGTCAATTTCCCAATCAACATTGTCGACTCTATCAATGCGGTCAACCGGGGAATTGTTGACATCTTCATCTTCCTTTTCGGATGCGACAAAATAGACCTTTCGACCCTGACTTGTCTTTCCTTCCCGTAGACGTTTTCCTGCTGTGCAAATCAGGTTGCTGATCCGGGAATTTTCTCTAAAAAGAGTTCCTTTGATTGTAATTTTTTGGCCTTTATGCTGCTGTTCAACTGCAGGCCTAATGTTAGGGGTATTCTCTCTTTTTTTAGTGGGACAATTTGGGGAGATATGTCCAGCTTTTCCACATGAGTAGCAATTCATCGTTTTTCCTACGTACGCGCGTTCGGACGTGGTTGCTATTGATTGATCGTCTGTTATGGGGTCCACAATTGTTAGTCTAGGATTACCTCCCGTCGCGTCGTTTGTCATTGGCTCAGATCGTTGCCTGTAATACAGCTGTAAGTTGTGTTGCAGGACCACTGATTCAGGCGATGTCTTGTAGATATCTTTTTCAATTTCGCAAGGAGCGATGTGCTTAGCCTGTCTAACAGCTCGATCCATCAGCTCGATCCATCAGCTCGCTAGTTGACATTTGTCGTTGGTTTTCCCTGATCTGTGACCAAACACTTGGCATGTATGTTTTGAGATTTTTAATAGCTTTGCCTCTGACTATATCTGAACCTCTGATGTGCATTGGGAGGTTGAAAAATCCATTTCGAACACGCCATGCTTAATCCAAGTAGGATTCATCCTTGTAGGGAGCGAGGCGTGCAAATTCTGGGACAGGTTCTTGAAGCATTTCGTGATTTTCTAGAGTCTCGAATATAGCCTCCAGTGTTTGCATCCATGATATATCGAATTGTTCTATTAGCCGTCGTACCAGAAAGAAATCACCGTCCATTTCGATGGCTACCCATTGCGGCCATAGGTTTTAAGGTATCATTGCCAAGTATGATGCAGTCTGAATATTTCTCAGCTTTGAGAAAACATCATTTGATGCCCTGGATAATTTCCATTCTGGTTTTAAAACGACTCTATTTCTATTGTTGGAGCTCACTGAATCGGAGTAAAAGATTTCTGACTTCAATTTTGCTTCCGGCCAGATATCTTTGACATATTTCTCCTGGATTGTCATGTTGTTATGATACGGGGGAACTGTTCGAAAAAGATTAATACGGCCATCTGGTAGTCTGGCCTGGTCGGAGGGGTTATGTTGAGGTGGCACAGTTGTAGAATTTGGTGTGCCATTTGATGTAGTGGGATGGTTGCCATTTCCATGCTCTTCTTGTACTTCTGCATTGTGGTCGGGTTTGAAAGATTCATTTTTGTTGATATTTGAATCCTGTAATTTTGATGCGTCTGTCAGACAAGTTGAGAGTTTGGCAAACTCTTTCATCATTAAGTCGAATTTCAATTCCAACTTATTCTCAAGTCTATCCAGTCGTCTGTCAGTAAATGCAAATCTTTCATTGGTTGCTTGCTGTAGGGCTTTTATTGTACGATGATAAGTAGTTGCCGATTCTTTCTGAGGGACTGAATCTTCCTCAGTAAGAAAAGAGTCTGGATAATCGCCCGGTGCGCTCATGCTGACTTTATAAAAATATGAGGTAATCTTTTTTTTTTTTTGCATCAGATTTTAACTGCGTATGCAGCTATCTAGCTATGACACAATATCAAAGAAAAGTACACAATAGATGATTCATCGTTAAGGAAGAGCACTCATGCCTCGGATCTCATTTGCAAGTACCACTGCGAAGTTATGCCGGCTTTTTCTTCACCCCAAGTCAACCCTCATCCGTGAATACCCACCTAGGGGAGGGTCTCAAAAACCCGGAGTTATCCAGACATGCCTTCATCATCCATTAACTTTTCTCCGCGCGAAATGTAATCTGAGATATCTCCTTCCCAAGTGGAGTAGGTGCCCAGGCTACTCAAACTATACCAGAGAACATCACCAGGAGGCGGATCACAACAACTTCCGTCGTTTGCTTGTTTTTATAGTGTAACCTGCACTCTCGCAAGCGAAGTCTTGGCGCGCACAAAGCTCAATTCGAAAAACTCCTTGCCAAAATTCGGAATCTCATGCCCTTCGAAGTTATATCCTTCCTCCGCATCATCTTGTCAACTTGTCCTAATCCCTCTAACGTCCATTCCAAAGAACTGTCTTCTAGATTTGCGCACCACGCTTTGCTTCCTCCGTCTGGTGTAAATATCGGCGTGGGCGTGTATTTGGTGACCAGCTAAGGCCAGAGAGGGTCGAAGAGTGGTGTGGTCATTGGGATGAGGATGTACTTGGTCAGACTTGTAGACTTGGTGAGACTTAGGTAGGAGTCAAACTCGTTGGGAGCGAAAAAACGGCGTGGATGAGTAATTTGGATTTTTGCCTCGTGGGCCAACTCGTTCGGTATTGCGAAGATTAACTGAACTTGGCTCTGGGAGAATATTTCACTCCCAGGTTCGTAGAGGACACCTCGTACAGGTGTTCAGTCTTGCCCTCCCAAGATAGTCTTCGCAACATTGTAAAGGAGGCATGGGATTCCGTGTCTTCCGAAGATCTTGTGAGACTCATTCAGAGTATGCCAGCAAGATGTCAGGCTGTGGTAGATGCGGATGGGGGACCAACCAGATATTAAGGCCTGAAAATATTCCAGCCACATGTTCAGATCTAAGGTTAGGATAAGACTGGCTCTATTTTGTAATTTAAAAACCTTTGAACTCTTGTAAATAAGTTATAAAGTCAAATAGCAAAAATGCACAAATGTTATGCAGCCGATCATTAAACAAATTAGGTTTAGTACGAAGGAAAGACCCACTGCAAACTATGGTGTCCAGATTAAAACTGCCATACAAAAATTTTCAATAATTTGCACAAATACGGGGGCTAACTCCAATATGGAAGGTGACTATGCCTAAGGCGTTTTGGTTTACACGCTAAAACCCCTGCCAAAGCCCCACTGCAAACTTGAGACCGTGGCACCACGGTAGTGTTGAAGCAGGACTTTTATGAACATTTATACCATCACAGAATAGATCAACTCTTTACTGAATCATTACGATCGATCGTGAAACTACCCCGTGGTAATTTCAACAAAGATAGTAATAACTGATTATAGTTCCTTGGGTTATTACTAGTGCATCCACTGTTTTTCTCTCCAACATACTCCTTCCGTACATTTGATGAATTTTTAGTATATTTATTAGTAATGGTGATTTAGTTTCGCTATTATTGTTCAAATTAAGCCCTCATTTTTCATCAAGTCCCCATAGAACGCTCGATCTTTCGCCATAACGTCTATAGAGCCGCTTATCTGAGTGTACAAATATCATGACCGACCATGGCCCTAGTATAATGGACTGATACTCCGTATCTTATAATAACGATTAATTTGAGCATGCGTCAGAAAAATACATTACAGGCTTAGTGTTTTACACGTGACTCGAATCTTTCCAATCAAATGGTTTTAATGACTAAGTCACTGCTTTAAAATACAAATATTCTGAGCTATTTGCTGGCTATGTTGTTGAAACTTTCAGCTAGGTTCGGCAGTTTTTGCCTACTAAATTTAGTTCTTATTTTTCATTTCTTGTCCACGCAGCTCGGAGCTCCTTATTTTTTCCTCATAGCTAGGCTATGCTAAAGTCTTGCGCTTATGAGGATTCAATGGATTAAGTCTTTGATTTTCGGGAACAAGTAGAAATTTTGTATCGAAAGAGCATGTGAGATCGATTGTTCGCTTTTCCCAGGTAGTTGATACAGTCAACCTATTAATTTTATCTTTAATGAAATACGGGAATACAGTTAATTTTTGGCTTATGTGGTGCCTGACGATCGCGCCGCGAACTTCATTTTTATTGTTTAATATAATATGGTAGGTTACATTGTGAGCTGTAAAACAGAGTAAGTACTTTTTATGCTCATATATTGAAGGAGCTTACGTCTATTGTGTATAGTTGTCTTTTTGCCTAAAACTATTTTCTTCCATGGACCGTCAATTTGATTAGATGTGTCTTTCATTCCAATGACTTTTAACTGGGGTGTGTAAAGGCGACAAATTGCTGATTGTTGAATATCTTCAATTTCCCATGATAAGGATCCACACTGAACAAAAGGTTTCTCAGGGATTTGCTTCTTGCCAGAAGCCATACTTGTAAAGATCTCGGGTATTTTTTCGCAACTCTCATATTTTTTCGTTTTACGGTTGATATAAACCACATCTTTCAGTTCACAGTTGATATTGAAGATGATCCATTCACTATTATTTATTCTTTTACCTAAGACCAGACTTAGTGAGCTACAGGATTCGAGTAGAATTGTGGCCCAACTTGATGGGGAAGGGCTGAGAATAGTTACCATTTTTTCTATCTCTAGCTGCAGGAATGGACCATTCAAATATCAAATTTTCGTTATTTGCAGAGTTAATGTAAACACGAGGCCGTCTCGCATCATTCCTTGTTGATGTGAATGCGTTACAAGCCGTTACACGAGCATTTTCTACGTCGCTGAATGAGTATCTTCTACCTTTACAGTAGTACCCGGGCTCCTTTAGTTGCTCCACTCTACGTTGAATAAATGATGCATTGGCTGAAATGAGAAGTGTAAGAAACACGATTTTTGGCCAGAAAAACTGGCTACTGAGCATGTGGTGAAAGTCTTTCATGCTAGGTAACTGTCAAGTCGGTACTTCGCAGTGATGTAAATGTTGTTGCTATATGGCAATGTACGAGGAATCAAGTAAGGAATTCCATTCGTGTGGAGCACCCTCGGGGTCATCCACGTAGTAAACCCTTCTTCCCATAGTCTGTCAAAATGTTGGTCGTCTTTTGGAATTCAGACAATCCCATAGGTTATGGGTCCAGGGATTCTGGAAATTTGGTGCTGCACATGCCATGTTAGATACGACTCGCATGCCAAGCAAAATGCGGGATCATGATACATTGGTGATTTTAAAGCAAGCATCTCGAAGCACGACCGCGTTGGATTCAATACAAAAGTTTTTGTTAATTTAATAATTGTCTTAATCATCTGTTCACAAAGATGAGCGGCACTCTTGTATTATGTCATATTACCTTTATTTTTAATTGTTGGATGAATGGTCTGTGCTTAAAGCTAGGGCTGCGCATGAGTGAATAGTAACATGGTACTTATGTAGGAGATCATTGGAGAAATAGAAAACATTAAATTGCAATACCGAACCCCAAGTTTCTGACAAAAAGCATGGAAATGCCATTAGATATGAATGTTTTGCTTTAGCAGGATTCAAATTTCAAGTGCGGCATTTGAATGAACCTGTAGTCTAATCTGGCGGTGCAAATGTGCATAGTTGAGAAGCATGTGTGTTTTTTTTATTCCACTACTTAAGTCTTAGATTATCTAGCAAATTGGGCTCCTCTCTGACCCAGGCCACACCTTGTACAGTGCTCCTATCCTCTTTTGTTACTTAAAAGATCATTGATATATTCCCCGAGATGAATAGCCATTCAGCTCAGTGTTTACCCGGGGAATTCAGCCACCTTTTCCACGGAACCTTCTACCCAAAAAAAATAAAAATGGTAGCAATGGAAACTGCGTGCGCGGGAAAAAGTCTCAAAAAACCTGCAGCCCCGGACAGGCGAGGCCTAGACACCGGGACCACATGAGGCGCACATATTCATCTACATCTCCCTTCTTTGTAACAGTCGAGGTCGACTTGATCCAATGCGTCATCTCTGTATTGGGTGCTAGGTACGCTCCGGAAACTCATCGGATGGCTTTTCCTCCATGATCAAGGGTTGGTGATAAGTAAGGCTCCGACCCTACCATCTGATCTGATCGTGGTTAGCTTCATGATGGTGGTGATAGGGGAATGTGTTGAGAGATGAAGACGATACAGACCGCGCAAGCGATTGGGAATCCTCGTCGAAGTGAAGACTTTGTTACTCGATCTCGGCTCTACAGGCTCTACAGTGAGAGCTTGAAGTTCGTAGGGGACACCACTGGCAGGTGTTGAGAAAAGTCCCCCCATAGTTGAAAAGTAGCGGGAGAAAATGATGAAGCAGATTAGTAGGTAGGCCAAGATGCTAACCGATTCAAGATCCACTGGCATTTCGTAAATTGATTCTTGGGCGAAAGGAAAAGTTCACCCGAGAGACCCAATAACTTTGCTCGATTGAAATCACTATGCCGGATAAAAATCAGACAAGGGCTCAATGTGCTAGCTGGTCTAAGATTCAAGTAGTACAATCGACACACATTACCACAGACAAAGCTGGCTTTTCAAGTATCTGTAGTCTTTCCCGATGTAGGGTCCATTTATGCACCGCTATCCGTATGGTGCATCGAACTAAAACTCTACTCCAAACACCCTCGCCGATTAGTCGTAGGATTTGCATGCCAACGAGGGGGGGCTAGTAAGGACGAATTTTAACCCCCAAGCGCTTGAGGGGTAATGGCTCTGTATGCTCTGCATATCTGGGATAGCCAAGATGAATCGTGTCATGACATGTAGAATATGGCAAACAAGAACTCAAGATTTAAAAGGTAAAAAAACTAGAGAGTAGAGCTGTGTCTACGAATTGCACATATCTAAGTGTGTGAGATTAAGCGAATGGTAAGTAGTAAGTTCTCAGTACTCCCATAACGCCAGACCACCGTAGATGTTTTAGCACAACTCCTTGTCTGTATACCATGTCCATAACCACTTAACAAATCGCATCTGTGGCAGAGTCAGAAATAAATAAGAGCTCACCCACAACAGGCCTCTTTTTACCAGTTTCGGAATGATCATTCTCACGCGAGACATCTAACTCAATCTTACCACAAACCACCACGCCTCAACGACCGACTAAGTAGTCACTCTAATTAACAACGGAAGCTTGACTTGCAAATCACCGGCCCCCTGCTGTAAAACCAAGATGCTACGTATGTTTGCAAGGCGGAAATAAGTCATCATAAAGATAGCTCGGTTCTTGGCTCACAAGGAACTGTTGCTCTAGTAGAGCTCTGATATCACAGTTCGAAAATATAGAAAAATGAGCACTTTCGTGATCGAAATGCAAAGCCATAATTTATCTACAGGGAAGCGATCTGCCTGCAGGTCTCCAGCGCTACTCAAACACGTCCAAAGGTATCTAAATCTAGCCCATGCTTACAGTGACAAAGAGAGTAACTCTAGCTTTCTTGGTGCTATCTCTTACTGTCATTTCTCAGCCTATGACTATACAGGACATGTAAGTCCTTCCAGATTACAAGCTAAGGATACCCATGCCAGATGTATATCCTCTCCCATGCCTCCCATATAGCTCACCTCAAAAGTCCTCAAATTACCATAAATTCAGAGGAGCCCTTTAGGAGGGCAAGAGTGAACGACTTTGCTCGGTGTCCTCTACGAACCTGGGAGTGAAATATTCTCCTAGAGCCAAGTTCAGTCAAACTTCGCAATACCGAACAAGTTGGCCCACGAGGCAATGATTCAAATTACTCCACAATATCAATCTTTCACTCCCAACGAAATCGATTCCTACCTAAGCCTCATCAAGTCTTCAAGTACGACCTAGTACATCCTCATTCCAATGACCACACCTCTCGTCGACTTTCTCTTGCCTTAGCTGGTCGCCAGATACACGCCCACGCCGATATTTACACCCGACGGAGGAAGCAAAGCGTGGCGCACAAATCTGGGAGACTGTTCAGTAAGACGGACGTGGGAGGAATCAGGACAAGTTCATAAGATGATGCGAAGGATGGATACAGTCTTGACGGGCGTGTAATTTTGAAATTTGGAAAGGAGTTTTTACAAATTGAGCTTTGCGTGCCAAGTCTTCGGCTGCGAGAGTGCAGGCGACACTATAAAAACTGCCATGGTTGGATGGTGCGGTGGTACATTGTCTTGGCCGGTCTGCCAAGTAGAGTCTGGATAGCTTGGACACATATCCCACTTGAGACAGTAGATCGCTGGTTCAAATCCAGCAAAACACAACCACTTTTCTCGCGGCGCTGGTATGCATGGATGACGAAGGCATGCTTGGATAATTAAAGGTTTTAAAACGTCCCTTTGGTGGGTACTTACGGAAGAGGGTCGACTATTTGTGTAAGCAAGCATACCTCATAGTGGTATTTGCGAATGAAATCCAGAGTATGAGTGTCTCTAACGTCAAAAGAGTCATCCTACATGCATACATAACACCGGTCATGTGTCATAGTTAGATAGCTGAATACACATTAAATAATTAAAAAAATAAAATAGAATCGAAACAATTCGCGCAAAATATTTAAATTAACGTTATAAACTCTCGTTTGCTATCAATTACGAAGATTCTCTCGTTTGTAAAAAATCTAGATAGATCTTCTGGAAGAGTAGTCATTGATCGATCTATCGGAGGAATTAATTCATGTACTAATTTGTTTTACTCAGTTTCTAAAGTTCGGGTCCAGCAGGAGCCACAAAAAATTGAGTTTGTGTAGTTAAAGCCTATAAACACAGTATTCAGTCAAGAGCATACAAATTCAGGTATCAAATCCAGGCTGGCGGATTAGGTTGGAATGATTCAAAATCACTCATACAATCTGTGGATTTCATTTGGTTTTGGTCCAATAGCCTTCATTTTCATTTATAAAGCATGACATGACACTATCAGTAACCAAATGATCAAGTCCAAGAGGCACTGCTCCATCATACGAGATATGGCAGTTTAGCCTTCCACCGCTTTTATCTCATATCGAATTGGTTAATTGGATCCTGATCATGTATTTCAATTCTACTCCCTGGCTATTGTACCAATATACAACGTGTTTGAGTATCGGCTATCTTGGGTCTGATTTCATTAAATGCTAGCTTAAATGAAACAATCAACGTCTAGTTGTAAACCAGCTGATATTTTTTCTCAATGTAATCACGTTACAGCGGCTATTTCCTAAGGTAACGCATGATCTTAGACAATGATCATTGGCGCTTGCTTCTCATGACATATTCAATTTAGAGCTTAGTTTTCTCACGTTGGTAATTTCCTCGTGCGCCTAATTGGAGCAGGCGGTTATTTGTGTACAAAAATAAATGAGACATAACAGCCAGCCAGAATCACAACAAGAGAAGGGTCCGATTACTGGGTATCTTGATCATGGCAAATTTTTAGGAACTTGAGGAAAGAGAGATGGACTTAAAACCCGTTCTGAACTCCGCTTGGCCATTTCGTTTTTTTTCTTCTTATCTAGGCGCTGTTGGAAAAATATCTTGTGCAAAGCAAAAAGGCTCGGTTCTTCCTTACTGATAACGACTGGCTCGGAACCCACCTGCTTCAGCGGTTATCATGGTACTGACGAATTTGTTGTATCGAAGTGATAGCCCTACCTTGGCATTTTTTGCAGGAGTACTCTTTTCTAGACTTACGTCAGAGGTTGCCTTCTCTGTTTTGCTGTCTGACTCGGCCTCTGCATTTTTCCCCTTGTTTTTCTTATCTTCATATTCCGTTTTTAACCGTACAATCTCATCGTCAATGATTTTCTTTTCCTGGGCTGCCACAGCGTTGTTATCAATTATGGGACTACAGAAGGCTTTATCTTTCAGATGGGCCGGACAAGTAAAAAAGAAATCCTGCATAGTCAGTTAGGCTCTAATCTTCAAATTGAATGGAATTACCACCTCACTTTTTGGCCAGACGCAACCAAAACTGATGTACAGGCTTTGAAGCAAACATCACAGGGCCTCGCACCGTGGTCGGCCACTTTTCTATGAGTATAAATATTGGGAAAAGTGGACATGTTTGCGAGTCGGGAGGGCTGGAGGTAAGAGCCGACGTCAATGATTAGGCTTCAGTGTTACCTCGACTGGGTGCCCTTGTCGCTAGAAATGCTGGTTTGATGTAGTGTACTCACAACATACTCACCCATCTTAAATAGTAAAAATCATAATATTATGGCTTCATTTGTCGACGAGTCTAAGGCACCCCTAAGTATCCCAGGAGACACAATGAAACGGGGCTAATCTACTTCACAGCTAGCATGCTCTGTCAACACTTTACTGACATTTCAGCACGACCTTGGGGGAGGGGTTGGAAGGAAGCTGAAAAGACAGAATGTAAATTATCCGAGATACCCACAAGTCTGCAGCGCCTAGCTGGCCGGCCTCTTCGAACGCTTCAGAAGGGGCATCATGTCTTCGGATTTAGTCCTAATATCGATATTAGAAGAGCTCCGCATCCAGTGGCTTTCGCGATTTTTCCTGGTTGCCATACACCCGCAAATAGCTATCGTTTCGTTAGCTGGAAAGGGGATATAACGGAGGGAAAATGGCTCCTCTGAATCTATGGTAAAATGAGGACTGGTAAGGGGTGGTGCTGATTGAGGGGAGTTGTATGGGAGGCATAGGAGGGGATATGCTACTGGCATTGGTATCCTTGGACCGTAGGCAGGATGGACCTTTATGTCTTGCATAGCCATTGACTGAGAAATGACAACAAACTAATTGATAATAGTAAACCATACGGGGCCCAGAGCAGCAATTCCACACAAGAAGCGAGCACATTGGGCTCAAAGCTCACTTGTGCCGAAGGAATGTACCAGGAATAGAAAAACCACGACACAAACATGGATATCCGTCCCAAAATATAAAACTCACAGGGATATCATGTCCAAGATGGGCAAAGGGGAAAGGCAGAAGGCACGACTGAACACCTGTACCCGGTGTCCACTACGAACCTGCGAGTGAAATAATCTCTCAGAGCCAAATTCAGGCAAACTTCGCAATATCAAAGAAGTTGGTCCACGAGGCAATGATTCAAATTACTCCTCCACGCCGTTTTTTCGCTCCCAACGAGTTTGACTCCTACCTAAGTCTCACCAAGTCTACAAGTCTGACCAAGTACATCCTCATCCCAATGACCACACCTCTTGTCGACGTTCTCTGGCCTCAGTAGGTCGCCAAATACACGACCACGCCGATATTTACATCTGACGGAGGAAACAAAGCCTGTCGCACAAATATAGGAGACAATTGTTTGAGATGGACGTGAGAAGGATTATGACAAGTTCACAAGATGACACGGAGGATGGATATAATCTCGACGGGCGTGAAATTCTGAATTTTGGCAAGGAGATTTATATATTGAAGAGAACTGTGCGCGCCAATACTTCGAGTACAGCTGACACTATAAACACAAGTCAAAGATAGAAGATGCAGTGGTCTGTCTCCTGGTGGTATTCTCCAGTCTAGTTTCAGTAGCCTGGGCTCCTACTCTACTTGGGAAGGAGCGCCTAATACCATCTTTTGCGAGTGGAAAAGTAAATGGATGATGGAGGCATGTCTGGATAACTTGGGGTTTTGAGACGTTTCCCTGGGTAGGTATTCATAAATGAGAGTTGACTTGGGATGAAGAAATAGCTGCCATAACGTTGCAGCGGCACTTTCAAGTGAAATTCGAGGCATGAGCGCTCTTCTTGTATACTGAGTCATAGTTAGATAGTTGCATACGCAATTAAAATCTGATGCCAAAAAAAATACCAAAAAAAAGGAGAGGCGAGTTGCTACGAAAATCGACGACCCAGTCTTTCATAGCTATGGTCAATAGCGTCAAAGATATGACTGGAATTGCACAGAGTGTCAAAAAGAAGAATGGCTAGAGAAGTTTCGTATGACCGGAGAAATGGAAGCGTTAATCAGGTGAAGAGAGGAAAATGGATACACAGGACAAGGCGCGAATCCACACTGACAACAACAGTGTGGGTGCACTCCCTAGAAATAAGACTATAATGGCGCCGAATCCAATCAGACAGCTCAGGGGTTTTTTACTGCAAGGTTTCTTCCTATTAAAATGTTCAAGTTCGTAGACACCTGCATGGGCCCATAGGGCGCCTAATCAGGTCAATGAATTCAAACTCAAAATAGTAAAACATAATAATTTTCAATTTATGTTGAACAGCTGGTAGATCTGAGCTCACTGAATCTGATACTGAGAATCACTGGGTATTTAAGTGATACATCCTCTCGGATTACTTGTCTGTGGCTTCGATATCTCTCTCAGGACAAGGTGATTAGTATGTTCAGGATGATCAATGCTCAAACTTGAGATCTTTTTATTTATATTTTTGCATCAGATTTTAATTGCGTATGCAACTATCTAACTATGACTCAGTATACAAGAAGAGCGCTCATGCCTCGAATTTCACTTGAAAGTGCCGCTGCAACGTTATGGCAGCTATTTCTTCATCCCAAGTCAACTTTCATTTATGAATACCTACCCAGGGAAACGTCTCAAAACCCCAAGTTATCCAGACATGCCTCCATCATCCATTTACTTTTCCACTCGCAAAAGGTGGTCTTAGGCGCTCCTTCCCAAGTAGAGTAGGAGCCCAGGCTACTGAAACTAGACTAGAGACAACCATCCCCACACTCAATGCTTGTGCAGGTAAAATTTCAGGGTCCTATCTGATAGACGCAACGGGCGTAATGCATCAACTTGTCGAGTTACTATCACAGTGCCACGTGAGGACTTGGCTAATCGCTCTCCACAAGAATGGCAGATCTCATCCCCTGACTGAGTCTGGGCAAACGCTATATTGAGCTGCTTAATCTCTATCTTGCAGCCTAGGTGGAGCAGTAAGGAAACATCTATGGTACTTGATTCGTCGCCAGCTAACCGAGTGTTTTCTACGCCTATCCTGCCGATCTTTTCGCTCTACTGCAGGTGTTCGACTTCAATACTCTATCGGGTAATCCTACGCGCTGGTCCCTATCTTAGAAATCAGATATTATTCAAAGTTCAGTCAAGCACAGCTGTAATTACATACCACACGATATAGAATTAAGAGTCTTGAAATGACTGGAACCAAGCCAGAGGAGAAGATGCTTTGGGGAGGCCGCTTTACCGGTATGTCGGTTTAGATTGTTGGAAAGCCAACGTAAGCTAATTGAGCTCAGGCGGTCTCGATCCGCTCATGGCAGCATATAACACGTCCATTCACTTTGATCAAATATTTCACACACAGGACATCTTGGGAAGCATCGCATGGGCTAGAGCAAATCACAAGGCAGGCATTCTCACCTCTGAAGAATTTGTTGCCATCGAGTCCGGTCTCAGAAAGGTCGAAGAAGAATGGCTATCAAATCAGTTCAAGATTATACCTGAAGTTGACGAAGATATCCACACAGCAAATGAACGGCGACTTGGCGAGCTCATCGGTACGGAACTTGGAGGTAAACTTCATACTGGCCGAAGCAGGAATGAACAGATTGCAACCGACATGCGATTATGGTTGAGAGATGAACTCCGCAAAATTGAACATTACCTGCTAGAATTTTTGAAGACAATGGCTTCTCGGGCCGAAGCCGAGATAGAGCACGTGATGCCTGGATACACTCATCTTCAACGAGCTCAACCTATCAGATGGAGTTATTGGATACTATCACACGCCATGCCGTTTGCACAAGACTTGGAACGGTTACGGGAAGTAATTGCACGTGTCAATCTATCGCCTCTCGGAGCTGGTGCTCTTGCAGGAAACTGTTTCCAAGTCGATAGAAATGCAATGGCAAGTGAACTTGGATTCAAAGGACTGGTAAGTAATCGATCTTACAGAATTTACCTCTTATATCTCCGTAAATATCATCTAATTTTGTCTCGAAGTTATGGAATTCAATGGGAGCAATTTCTTCCAGAGACTTTGTTGTAGAGTTCATGCAATGGAGCAGTATGCTGATGATACACTTTTCAAGGTACTTGATACTTCATCCTGACCTTGCCAAAAGATGGTCACTTTTTGAGCCTAGACGCTAACTTAAGCTAATAGATGGAGTGAAGATCTAATTGTCTACTCTACCAGTGAATTTTCTTTCGTCAGTATCTCTGACTCATACTCTACCGGAAGCTCTCTTATGCCGCAAAAAAAAAACCCAGATAGCCTGGAGCTTCTTCGGGGAAAAAGTGGTCGAGTGTTTGGACAAATGGCAGGCCTAATGATGACTGTTAAGGGGATACCTTCCTCGTATAATAAAGATCTTCAAGAAAGTGTGGAATCTATGATTGACCAAGTAAATTCTATCAATGATAGCATTAGAATCGCCACAGGCGTACTCTCAACTTTAACTGTTAAGCCTGAAAAAATGCGTTCATCCCTCGACCCGTTTATGCTAGCTACGGATCTAGCTGACTATCTTGTTCGAAAAGGGGTTCCCTTCCGCGAAACTCATCACATCTCTGGACGGTGTGTTGCGCACTCAGAAAAGACTGGTGTGCCGATGAATAAGATGTCTTCATCTGATTTCAAGAACATAGATGAGAGATTTGATAGTGATGTGCTAGCTATCTTTGACTATGAGCACAGCGTCGAAATGCACTCCGTGACAGGAGGCACTTCCAGGTCAAAGATTCTGGAACAGATCAACATATTGAAAGCGCTTCTAGAAATGTAGGAAGACTCAAATGTTCACATAGCTCCACACCGATCTGATTTTATACATGCCCAGCTCTAATAGGTCTTTGCGCATGTATAACTTTAGGTTTGTTATCTAGAAAAAATGTATCAATAAGATAAAAACTTTTTGTATAGTAGCCTTTGCGTCCTGGACAATGGGTAACCTATTGTTATCTTTAAAAAAGAAGATTTGAGCTGGGCCAAATTAGTCACCTTTAAATATATGAAACACATCTTGAGAAGACCACTAAGTAAACAGAAACTCTGTAGCCTGTGCCATCTAGCTCAAGCACATCCATAACGTCAGCGGCTAGTTTCGCTTGTATTCACTGTCAGGCACTGCCCGTACGCTCAATATCGGCGGTAACTGGCCCACACCCGGACATTGGGGGCTTGTCTGGAGAAAAGCTACTGGTTTTCGCAATTGGAGGATCATGTTTGTGGGACAGGCATTATATGCAACAGTAGTTTTGGTTCTTCGGTAAATAAATTACTTGTCATACACACGCATAAGCTTTGTATACTGAAATCGTTGTACCCTACCTACGTGGCCAGATCGCCCTAGACTCGACCCAAGTCTTAAATTACACTGAAACTGATGATGCGGAAACCTGTCTGAGCGCCCACCACGGACATTACATTATAGATATTTTTTCGGAATAAAAAGGAACAGGTGTACTGTCCAAAGTGTGACCCGGGTTAAAGAGGAGCCCGGTGTGCTAGATAGTCATGGAGCCAAGGAGCAGAGTAATCAGAAAACCATCATCTTGCCCATCTATCACGAGCCCTTCCGCGCACATCTCAAAGATACATTTCGCTAGCTTCGTGCGCCACGACTGTTTTCTTCTGCAGGTATTCATAGCCGCTGTGCATCTGCCCATAGCCTCACGGCTGCTCGGTAGCGAGGGACGATGATGACGGGATGACGCTAGCAGGGGGAATGATATTGACAGACTTGGGATCACTTTCATGCCACGTCTGTGGTCAAGCTACGACGTCTGACGAGTCGTGGCACACTATCAAGGGCTACTTCGATTTGGCAATCCTTCTCGGATGTTCCGATATTCAGGGAAGTAAATTTCCCAATAACTAGATATACTGTATTCAATTGTACGGCAAATTAGTCATGTCCCGACGGGCTTCAATCTAGCTCGAAATTAAATATCAGGGCAGCACCCTTCGCCGCTAGTCTTGCCTCTGTACTTTTCAAATATTTAGCGCACTTGTCACTCATCGAGTTTCAATTGTCCTTGTAAGAGTATCTTGGCACATAGTCCTTATCTCGATGCCTACTACCATGGTCAGCTTAGCAGGCATTTCGCTACTTTTAGAAGATCTTGCAATGTGTGGTTATATTTCATTGCATCAATTCGGATATGGTGATTACCAGGACGAAATATCCTTATATTGCAACTCCCAAATCCCCTATTTGACTGCTTAGGACCAATGAATTGTCGATTATCTATGGGTGGGAGTATGAATAAAATACTTTCTGGCACCAAGGCTAGTGTGTGGTTTGAATGTAATTTATCTGCTACCTGTACAATTCATATAGCCTTCATTTATATGATGGGAAGATTAACATACAATTTACAAATGTTCCTTGCTCTTTGAGGCTGATCCCATGATGGCACTTTGTTGCATATAGCTCCGTACCATGTCTGCCAGTCAATAATGTGAGACAAAATTTTTCACTCCTCGCATGCGATGGCAACAAGTACACAAATATCGTCAACCTTGCCCCCTCTATAGTTCTCCTGAGGATAATATTTGTGGACCTCTCTCGCAAATGGTCCATCTCGGCTGACACTCATGCTGGCTACCTTGGATTCCGTCGTGATGCTTACTGCTAGAGCACTCTGCAGACTAGCACCTGAACTAGAGCGTAGAAATGTCGATAAGTCCTGGCCAACGCAGATTCCGTCTGACGTATGTTTCCAGGCTTGGTTCTCGAGCATGATCTTTGATACAATCTTCAGTATTTCGGATCTGGACAAATTATCCCAGACACCGTCACTCGCAAACATTAGCACATCACCGTGCTGCAAACAACACTGTGAGACGATGGCATCCTGGGGTAAATCCGAGAGATATGGCCCGCCAAATAGGGATGACTTGCGTTTCATAAAGTCAGGAACAACAGCTAGCTGATACGGTGTGTTAAAGCCATGTGTCTGCGGCTCAGAGGCGTTATGAATAGCGTTCAATCTTAGCTGAATGAAGCCTGAGTCGCCTAAATTCGCCACCTCCAAGTTCCCGTCGCCTCTTGCCACGGCAACACACGCAGTACTACTCCCAGCTAACACTGATTTATCCTTGCTGATACCTTCATAGCCGCGCTGCATCAAGCTTCTAGCTCCAAACTTTGCTTTCGTATTATCTTTGTCATAGGTTGAAGATGCGTATGCCATGAAGTCGCAAATTCCATGGGAGAAATCGCCCGGGTCAACGCCTATATCTCCCCAGCTTCCCACACCATCAGCGACACCCAATGCTACATCCGAGCTCTCACCAACTCGGCTGACAAAAAATGAATCCTGACCACTTGCCGGACGCTTACTTTTATCTTTTCGCTGTGTGTAGCTGTCTTCATAAGCGAAGGTATATGTATTCTTATTCGAATCGAAGCGTTCGTTTTTAGCAGAATATGAGGCAGCGACGCCGAAAGTGTATCTGGCAAGGGGGAGTCCATGGTGAAATGATCTGATCTGTCTTTGGCTACATGGTGAGCGCAAGTCTCTACGTCCCTGCTTCCTTGATGATAAAATGGATTCAAAATAGTGTCGAAATTTCGTAGGCTTATTCTTGCCGGCGATAGGAGAGCATGCCGCTTCAGCCAGTGCTACTCGAAAAGAAGACGCCATTCAAGGTTTCGCGGGACGATTAAAATCGCAGAGGCCGAAGTTTATTCGATCTTCAAGTATCTAAAGGACTTCCATCCCTTGCACATAGCAGGTGTTGACGTGATGGGAAAATGTTGGTGTTATGGGAAAATATTTACGATATTTCCTGTTCTTGTGTTGACCAATGAGGAGCCTTCTACATTGTATAGGGACACACACTACCCTGTAAACGCTAGTGTATGTTTCACTCAGAGCAGGGCATTCGAAGTCACCTAAGCGACAAAAGTGCATATTTGATATACCTTACAGGCTCAATACCTTCAAGTTCACTAAAACTTCAGCGTCTTTTCATCCAGTCAATAACTGAATACAAGTATAGCTATATAGTATTAACCTGGATTCCAATCGGTCCCAAACGCGAATTGTTTATACAGGAGCTTCACGAGCTGTTATCTTGGCACCTACACCTAACAGCTTGCCGTCGATATATAATTTTAGCCAAGCCGCACAAACAATAAAGTCATTATGATAAAGAAGGGACTTCGGCTCATTTTAGTTTGTACCCAAATAGAGACCTGTGGGGCTATTACTTTTGAAAGGTGTCGTGAAGGAGACAGGAGAGAGTACAATACTCCAGATATCCAGGCAGAGAGAACGCACATGTCCTAGTATCGTCATATATTTAACAGAGCAATAAACTCAAATAAAATCAAGTCATTAACAGATTTTTGCTAAAAAGTCTAGCTCGTATTAACAATTTCGGTTCAGGAAATCCCGAAAAGTTTATGTTACGGCAGTACACGTATGAGATATTTAAATAATAATTAGGATTATTCTTGTAAGCTGTACAATTCCCAGGAGATGAAAATAAGAGTAACCACAGCTGGTTAGGGCCTTGCTGTGTTCAAAGTTATTTTGTGGTGTGTAGCATAATCGAATAATGTAAATTTCTCCCCTTAAATGTCTTCACATTTTCTAGGCTCGCCACCATTGCCACTGTACTCAAGATCGTTAATACGATTCTTGATGTTTGTCCAGTACCTCAATCGAATTGTTTCTCTGCGTGCATCTTCCCAATCGTCTCGCCCAAATGCCTTTTCCAAGATATCCTCACTCCGCTTTATTTTGTGTGAGTTAATGCTTCTGAGCTTTTCAAGGTCATTCTGAGAAACAGTCTCATCAATTGCTTCCATCACCTCCATCACTTCCATCAGAAGTTCCGGTTCTGGTGTAGCCATATCGTCAGCAGTAACATTGATACCTTTCAAGCTTAAAAGATATTGTGCTCGGGCTAGTGAATTTTGCAGAACACTGTATGCCTCATTTATTTGGGCAGATTCTGCTTCAGCTACTCCTTTGGCGCTTGCAGCATGCCGATCTGGATGCGAAACAGCTTGAAGCTGTAGAAATTCACCTCGAAGGGCGCGCGAATCAACGTGAAAGGTTCCTGCAGGTGGAGGTCCGGCTTTGAGCGTCTCTGGGAATAACTCGTAATACGTTTTAGCTGCGAAGTTTCTTCCAGTACTCAAGGGAATGGAGTCTGCTGTACAGCGTCCAGATATCTGAAAGCAGCTGTTTCGGTGTAGGCTACGCGAAATATACCTCAGAAAACTCATCTTCGTTCGCTGGTGGGTACAGGAGAAATAGGTATTGATTCGTAGGGGTAATACTAATCTTCGTCTGATGATGATGATGATTAAAGCGCACAGACAGCAGCAGCTAATCTTTGCGCAACACGATGTAGGTTATCTTCATATCAGGCGGGATGCGCCATCGATGAAAGGCTAAGTATCCTATCCCTGTATTGTCCCACCCGACGCGAAGGGAGATGACTGTTGACCCTAGTCTTAGCCGGTATTGGTACCCGGGCTGACTAGCAGACACAGCCTTGCATTCGCGTTAGCTTTAGCAGACGACTGTGCCATGTACAATATTGTCAGACTCCAACTCACGAACTTGGGAGTTGAATATTCTCCCAGAGCCAAGTTCAGTAAAATTTCGCAGTACTAAAGAATTTGGTCCACGAGGCAATGATTCACAACACCTAACAAAATCAATCTCTCATTCCAAACAAGATCGATTCCCAACAAACCTTTAAGCCAACGAATACGACCTAATACACTTTTATTTCAATGACCACGCCTCTCGTCTGACCAGTCTCTGGTATTAAATAATCCTCATAGGTATCCCACGAGAACATGAAAACCTGCCGGAGGCGACAAATTGTGGTGCACAGATCTTGAAAACAGAGTTTTGGGACGGACGTGAGAGAGTTATGGACAAGTTTACGCGATTATAAAAAGCAAGCACATAATCTTGACGTGTGTGAGATTAGCAATTTAGGCAACGAATTTTTCTAATTGAACTTTGTGTGTGCCAAGCTCTCGGCGGCGAGAGTGCAGGCGACACCTTAAACACCGTCGCAGCTTGATGGTGCGGTGGTACATTATTTGGGCCGGTCTCCTAAGAAGATTCTGGATAGCTTGGACACATATCTCACTCGAGACAGGAGATCGGTGGTTCAAATCTGGCAAAACACAACCACATTTCTTGCGGCGCTGGTATGCATGGATAACCAAAGGTTTTAAAACGTCCCTTTGGTGGGTATTTACGGAGGAGGGTCGACAGTTTGTGTAAGCAAGCATACCTCACAGTGGTATTTGCAAATGAAATCTAGAGTATGAGTGTCTATGTCGTCCAAAGAGTCATCCAGCGTGCATAGATAACACTGATCATACGTCAAAGCTAAATAGTTGAATACTGTAAAACTTAGAGGGGCTTCGTGTAAATGTCACGTGAATCGACAAGAATGTAAGAATGAAAGTATGGAATTAATTTACTACTACGAGTCGAGCCTAGGACTATATTGTGTGAGTATCCCCATGTACGCTCCCTTGAGTATTGCCAGTAGCCAAACATCTGTGCGCGTAGATCTTACTTTCGCTTTTGGACTGGCGCGAAACCCAGACAAGCATAGGTCTGCTTACAAATACAAATTAAATGATTAAAAAATATAAAATCAACCAGGGCCCAGAGTAGCATTGCCACACAAGAAGCGAGCACATTGGCCTAAATGCTTGCTTACTTATACAGAAGGAACGTGCCAGGAGTAGGAAAACCATGCTGCCAATGTGAATATCCGTCCCAAAATATAAAGCACATGGTGATGTCTTGTCCAAGATGGGCAAAGGGAAGTGGTGAGGTGCTACGAAAATCGACAACTCGATCTATCGAAGCTATGGTAAATAACGTCAAAGATACAACTCGAATTTCTCAGTGGATTCAAAAGGAAGGATGGCTAGAGCAGTTTCGGATGAGCGGGGAAATCGAGGCGTTAATCAGGCGAAGAGAGGAAAATGGACACACAGGACAAGGACGGAATCCACACTGGCAACAACAGTGTGAGTGCACTTCCTAGAGGTAAGACTATAATCGCGCAGAGCCAAGTCAAATAGCTCAGGGGGTTATTACCGCAGGGTTTTCTTCTATGTAAATATTAGAGTTCGTAGACACCTGCATGAGCCCATAGGGCGCCAAATAGGGCTAAATTAAATCAAATTCAAAAAATATGAAATCATCATTATTATTCAATCATGTTAAGGTGCAGGGACGCACGTGATTGACCAACGATCTTACATTTTTACAGACTATTTAATTTAATGACTCTGCCTACCTTCATATCAAAGTTTAAATTCGTGGACTAGTACGTCAAATTTCGTTTCCGTAGCGTTTTTGACTCCAGAGTACCGATTTGAGCAGCGTGAATTTTGTTTCACATTTCTTGTTCGACCCAAGTCCCCAGGGTGCAGTAATATTATTCGAAGAAATGTTTACAGACCCGCACTTCCATACTCCCTTACTTCTAATTGTAATGACAATTGATTACTTTTGTATCACGGATCCAAGCTCTAGACACTATGCAACTGACTAGTTTTGGCGATCGCCATTTTGTGTAGACCTTCTAGTCATGAGTCGACCTATCCCAACCGTGTAGCCTTGATCTTGAAGGTGTTACTTTGTTACGCAAATCTTTCCAACTGCTCTTTAAGACTGCTGTGCAAATCTTTATCTGGCGCGGATGAGTTTTGGTCAATAACGGTATTTCTTCACTTGAATTTCCCGCAAGCACAACTTGGCTCTGCTTCTTTCTTTCCTGAAGCTTAGCTATGCTAGGGTCTTACGCTTGTGAGGGTTTATCAGATTGGAGCCTTGATCTTTAGTTAATAGCGAAAACTTTGTATCCAAAAGGCATCTGAGTTTTATTTTTTGTTTTTCCCGGCCTATTTTTTTGGTGGACATATTAACTATGTCTTTAATAAAATAAGGGGGTACAGTCGATACTCGGCTTATATGATGCGTAACAATCACGCCAATAACCTCATTTTCATTATTTACTATAATTTCGAAGGGTATAGGTATCCCTTTTAAAAATGTTCAGTATTTTCTGTACCCTTATATATTCAAAAAACTTACATTTCTTGGCCACAAGTATTATTTTTCTCAGAGTGGCTTTCTTCCAAGGACCATCAAATTTATTGGATGTATGTTCTATTACAACAAATCGATTCAGGTATTGGTGTACATTGTGAGTGGATGTTTTTTTAATCTCTTCAAATTCCCATGAGAAGGATCCACACTGCAGGAAAGGTTTCTCGGGGACTTGCTTCTTCCCCGAGGACGTGCTTGCTGAGTCTTCAGATACTTTGTCGCATGGCTGAAATTTGCGTGATTTACGATCGTAATAAAGGACATCTTTCAGTTCACAATTATTGTTAAATGTTATTTTTTCTAGTCTGTTCATGATTTTATCTAGGGCTAGACTTAGCGAATCATGGCATAGGAGGAGATTTCGGTATTTTTGAAGGGAAACTGGTCAAGAAAAAGTTACCATTATTCTCTCTGCGCAGGGTTTTCGGGATTCCCCATTCAAATATCAAGTTGTTGTTATCTTTGGCTTCAATATAAACGAGAGGCCGTCTAGATTCAGTCCTCGTTACCATGAAACCTCTACAAGCTGCTTCCCGAGCTGCCTCAATTTCGCTGAATAGATATCTTTTGGCTCTACAGTGGTAACCAGGCTTCATGGTTTCATCGATGCCACGCAGAATCAATGAAGCGTTGGTTGAGATCAAAAGTAAAAGAAACACGGCTTCAAGTCGCAGAGATTGGTATCTGAAGATGAGATGGAGACTATTCATGGTCGCACTTGATCAAGTTGGAGCCCGTAGTTGGAGAGATGGTGTTTATTTTACAACAAGATACAATGAATCATGTGGGAAACTTTTGTCACATAACACTGTAAGAGTCAAACGCATGCATAATCTCTATTCCGATTATTCCTAAAAATATTGATTACCGTTTAAAATTCCGATAATCTTATGATTTGTGGGCCTAAGGATTCGGAAATTAGGGGTTGTACGTGCCACATGAAATGTGACTCGCAAGCCAAGCGCTGGGTGGAATTATTTTGTATCTGTTAAAATACTGAACTCAGTTAATATATACCGGTTGGAAGTATTAGCTTTAGGCTGTAGATATTTCTGAGTATGTCGCTGAGACGGTCAGAGTGGTCTAGTGATTAGCAGTAACTGTGGTGAATAATCCGATCTTATTTAACCTTGAGCATGCACACCTAGTAAGGCTGATGATGTGTTTATTAAGTCACTTGGGTCTCAGACAATCTAGTACATTGGTCTCCTCTCTGGCCCAGGCTGCACCTTGTACAGTGCCCTTATCCTCTTTTGTTACTTGAAAGATCATTGATATATTGCCCCCGATGAATAGGTACTTGTGACGGGCCAGGACTTTCGGCCAATGCACGAAAGCGATGCCACAATTAAATGTTTGTATTTTCCATGACGAATTCAGAAGCGGGGTGCTACGGCTTTTTATAAGTACAATGCCTGTTTCAGATGCCCTGGCCCTTTACACATAATCTAATAGTACGCACGTGTAGTGAGTAGATTTACAAACTCGCTTGCGCCTACAGGATAAGGATGAGTCCTATAGCCATAATCAGCCGGGCCTGTCCCCTAACAACAGGAGGGTAGAGACTGAACACTTGTACTCGGAATTCGCTGCAAACCTGGGAGTGAAATATTCTCCCAGAACCAAGTTTAGTCAAATTTCGCAGTACCAAAGAGATAAACCCACGAGGCAATGATTAATACTCTCCACCAAATCAATTTCTCCCACCCGACGAAATTGATCTCCACCAACACCTCATCAAGTTTACAAGTACGAATTAGTATATCCTCATTCCAGTGATCACACCTCTCGTCGACCTTCTCTGTCCATAGCTGGTCATTGGATACACGCCCACGCCGATAGTTACAACCTACGGATGAAACAAAGCGTGGCGCACAAATCTAGGAGGTAGTTCCATGGGATGGACGTGAAAGCGGCCAGTAAAAGTTCACATGATGATGATGCAGAGGATGGATACAAAATGAGAGGCGTGAAATTTTGAATTTTGGCAAGGAGTTTTTACAAATTGAGCTTTGTGCGTGCCAAGACTTCGGTTGCGAGAGAGCAGACGATTCTGTAAACAGCGCCGCGGTTGGATGGTGCGGTGGTACATGATTTGGATCGGTATCGCAAGTAAAGTCTGAATAGCTAGGAAACATGTCCCACTCGAGATAGGAGACGCCTCAAACTATTCGTCGCGCGGAGAGAATTCATTGGATGACGGAGGAATGTTCGGGAAACTCAGGGGTTTTGAGATGTTTCCCTGGCTGGGTATTCACGTATGAGGCTTGACTTGTGGTGAAAGCCCTCATTACCTAGCCGTGATACCTGCACATCGAATCTGAGGCACGAGTGCTAGTCCTTATTTTTTATATTATTATGTTAAGGTCCTAAGCTAAAGCTATAGGTCCACTTTGGGTACTAGACTGTTGGAGCCGGTGGGGATCACTGCTCACAGGCCCAACTCATTCCAACCGCTGGACTCGCTAAAAAATAGTCGGAAGTAAATTACGACGCAGACACCATCTACTCCAACTCCTACATCAAAAATCCCTCCTTTTGCCCCTAAATCCAAAAAGCTACAATCTTTCCTCCGAGAAACGACAATACTCGCTTCGTTCCCTTTCGTGTCATGCATTGTGGTAGCGACTACTTTATCTGATCCCCGCTGAAAGCAGTGGATGAGTGAGCAGGTCGTCCAGCTAAACAGCCGGCTTCCTGCGTAAATATTTTGAAGCTATCGTGGCACTTGGGTCCGAGAAGCTTTTTGATAAAGTCAACGTGGGACATTGACTTTCTGAGCCTACGCATGTGTTGTGCGTGGCGGCGACAGTGGATGAAGCGGGTTGGAGTAGTTTCCTTCCCGTAAGAGCACTCCATAGGAGCGTATGGGTTGTTGAAACGGCGAAGGTATGCCGCAAAATTACCGTGTCCTGTTCGTGCTGCGATCAGTGCCCGGAGGAGATGCCTTGAGAGCGACAGCTTGGGTGGTTTACGGCGCTGCACAAGTGAAGCTGGCGGTATCTGAGTGGACTCATCTTTGTTGCCAGTTTGTTAAGTGTTTGTATCTATGAATTTCGTATGAGTCAAAAGCCCTACACCCGAGAGGCATGATACGGGTGTTATATCCCTAAAGACTCACTACTACCTATCTGTCCAGATTTATAGGCCGATTGATTACATGAAAAGAAGAGATAAAGAAAATTGCCTGGACAAAAAACGCCCTACTACTTGCCCACTTTCATATTCAACTGCTAAAGATATTCCAGTCCCTCAGAAAGGTTTAGCCCTCTAAGTGTGAAAATTACCCCGCGTAGCATCTTGTTACGGTTAAGTACATATAGAATTACTTCCATCCATTTTCTGTCAACATGACTCGACTTCTTGGTGGTGGCTCATGTCTGGATATTTTCCATTGTCGCAAAGCCGTTCGGCACTCTGCAAAGTGCCAAGGACGTCTTTCCCTTCTATAGACGCATCTACAGACAATACTTTCATGCCCGAATCTGTTATGGTAACCCTTGAAATCTCCGTGTCATATCCTCGCTGCTATTAGATGATGATATACCCATCTCGGCAATCCAAGCTCGGGTGGTCGTTTTCACCCCATTAGAAGGTCTAATTCTTCGTACCGTCTTGGTCTATTTTGAAGCCACCAGGATTCCACAGCTTCCTCGACCTACTCCCGGATGAGCCGGCTCAGCGCTACAAAGGTGTATATCTGCTCACCCCTTAATTCTAAGAGGTCTCTTAGGCCTCCCTTGGCCAAGATATCCGCCTGCTCGTTCCCGGTAATCCCAGGATATCCCGGTATCCAATGGACCTCGACTGATAGGAACTGGCCTATCTGAGTCGTAAATTTAGTAACTATAGACTGAGATGATCTTATTCGGCCTGTTCGCAGGTCTAGACGACTTATCGTTTCCTTGGGTCCCTCTCTAGATCTGAATACTAGCGGGTGCCAAGCCTCGAGTCGTTGTATCCGTGCAGCGGCCTGGAATTGCCTTTTCTGCAGCAGAAACTTTGCTGGAGGGACGCCTGACTCTCGATATAGAGCCATATTTGGCGTGGTACGGCATGCTGGTAGCGCTATTCGAACTGCTTTTAGGATTGTGCTGTCCACTAGGTTGATATGCCAGCCAGCCCTGGTACCCAATTTCTTGTCACGCTTATTAGTGATCCTGGCCAGCCCTGGCCACCATGCCTCTGCTCCGTGTAGTGCCGTGCTTAGGACAAATGACTGTACCACTTTGATCATTGGGCCCGGGTCGATCCCACGTTGGACCATGTTAATGTGACGTATAAATTGGGTTATACGTTGGGCTTTCCCGCACCATACTTGAAAATGTTGCTTAAAGAAGAGTTGGGAGTCTAGCCATACTCCGTGCCATTTCACACATAAGGTCGGTTGAATGCTTTGTCTCTTGATCTGAATGCCGAGTTCCGTGGTGTCTACTCTTTTTCTTGGTCCTCCTCATATCACTAGGTGTTCCGACTTAGCTGGATCGAAGTCTATTTTGTGCTCATTAGCTAGCGAGACAAGATTACTGACTGTGACGGCTTGTGAGCTGATAAGTCCTGTAGCCTTCGATGGCTACCGAAGGCAACCTATATTCTCTATCACTCCGAGGATTATCAGCAGACGAAAACTGATACGAGATCGCCACTGAGGCTACGTAAAGGATAGTGCCAAGAGTATCGGAAGCGTTACCCGTGTGGCAGAACAAACCTTAAGTCGGTTTCATTGCCACTGTAAGCGTAGGCTAGATTTAGATACCTCTGGATGTGTATGAGTAGTAGAGTAGACTTGCAGGTAGTTTGCTTCTACATAGATAAATTATAGCTTTAACTTTCAATCATGCAAATGCCCATTCGATTTCTATATTCGAACTGTGACATTGACTTCGTGTTGAAGTCTTTCTACTGCTTAAGCCGCAGTGCTTCCTACACCGAAAATGGTTATGTCGTCCGCATATCCAAATCGGGCTCTACTATTATCGTCCTGGAGCAGAATGGCGATGTACAGTAAGAGCAGGAGCGGTGATAGTAGCGAGCCTTGAGGGACTCCGCATTCCATCATTTTGTCTTGCGTCATCCCATTTTGATGTCGGACACGTATCTTTCGCTGAGACAGAAAAGATTCTATCCATTGGCAAAGATTAATAGGCCATTCTTGTTCCCGCATCCGGTATAATAGGCACTTGTGAAGTACTGCATCGAACGCACCATGCACATCTAGGGCTGCCATGGCCATGACCTTACCGTTCCTCATTGTCGCTTCCGCATCATGTATGACACAGGAGACAAGATTAATCGCCGAGCGCCCAGGTAGGATGTCAAAGAGCTGCTGAGGAACAGCTCGATGTTCAATAGCCAGCCAGGACATTCGCTTGGCCACTAATCGTTCCAAACCTTTGCCCAAGCAGGAAAGAAGAGAGATTGGCCGCCATCCTTTGGCTGTCGCGGGGTCTCGCCCTGGTTTGGGAAGAAGCACGACTTCTGCTACCCTGAGATCTGTGGGAAAACGACTCATTTCTAGGCAAGCTTAAAAATGTCTCTTGCATGTTCTCCAATTTTGTTCCAGCATGATTTAAGCAATCAAACTGTTATCTTATCTAACCCTGGAGCCTTGTCTCCGCCCACAATGGTGCATGCCGTAACATCATCTAGTGAAAGCGCATGGTCCCACGGGATTGACTCTCGTTGACCACACTCCCACCTAGATGGGTCG